ATTAGGTTGTTAATTTGAGATCTTTCTATTAATATCTTTTTGATGTAGGCAGTTAGCTTTATTCACTTTCCTCTTAACACTGTTTCTGTTGCATCTCAGAGCTTTTGGTATCTTGTGTCTCTATGTTCATTTGTTTTAAATAATTTTTTGATTTTTGCCTTAATTTCTTTGTTTACCCAAAAGTCATTCAGGAGCAAGTTGTTTAGTTTCCATGTATTTGTGTGGTTTTGAGAGTTCTTTTTGGTATTGATGTCTAATTATATTCCACTGTGTTCTGAGAAGATGCTTGGTATGATTTTGATTTTTTAAATTTGTTGAGACTTGCTTTATGACCAAACATGTGGTCAATATTAGAGTATGTTTTGTGGGCAGATGAGAAGAATGTATATTCTTTCATTATTGGTGGAATATTCTGTAGATGTCTATTAGGTCCAATTAGTCAAGTATTGAATTTAAGTCTAGAATGTCTTTGTTAGTTTTCTTCCTTCATGATCTGTCTAATGTTGTCAGTGGAGTGTTAAGTCCCCACCTCTGCTGCTTCTCTGATTATTGTGTGGCTGTAAAAGTCTTTTCTTAGGTAGAAGTAATTATTTTATAAATCTGAGTGCCCCAATTTTGGGAGCATATATATTTAGGATCATTAAATCTTCTTGAATTGAATTATTTATCATTATATCATGCCCTCTTTGTCCTTTTTTACTGTTGTTAGTTTACGGTCTGATTTCTCTGATACAAGAATAGCATTCTCTGCTCTTTTTTATTTTGTTTGCATGATAGATCTTTTTGCATCCCTTTACTTTGAGCCTATAGTTGTCATTACATGTGAGATGGGTCTCTTGAAGACAGCAGAAGGATGGGTCTTGTGTTTTAATTCAGTTTGCCACTCTATGTCTTTTAAGTGGAATGTTTAGGTCATTTATGTACAAGGTTAATATTGATATGTGAGGTTTTGTTTCTGTTGTGGTGTTTTTGGCTAGTTGCTTTGTAGTCTTGATTATGTAGTTGTTTTATGCAGTCTGTAGGCTATGTACTTATGTGTGATTTTGTGGTTACATGTATTGTTCTTTCATTTCTATGTTTAGGATTCCCTTAAGCATCTCTTGTAGAACTGGTCTGCTGGTGCCAAATTCGCTCAGTGATTACTTGCTGGGGAAGTATTTTATTTGTGTTTTGTTTATGAAGCTTAGTTTGGCAGGATATGAAAATCTTTGCTGGAATATCTTTTCTTTTTTTTCTTTTTTTTGAGACAGAGCCTCACTCTGTCACCCAGGCTGGAGTGCAATGGTGTAATCTCTGCTCACTGCAACCTCTGCCTCCTGGGTTCAAGCAATTCTCCTGTCTCAGCCTCCGAGTAGCTGGGATTATAGGTGCATGCCCCCATGCCTGGCTAACTTTTTGTATTTTAGTAGAGATGGGGTTTCAACGTGTTGCCCAGGCTGGTCTGGAACTCCTGAGCTTAGGTGATCCACTTGCCTCTGCCTCTCAAAGTGTTAGGATTACAGGCGTGAGTCACCGTGCCTGGCCCAGGAATTTATTTTAAGAATGCTAAAAATGGGCCCCCAATCTCTTCTGGCTTCTAAGTTTTCTGCTGAGAGACTGCTGTTATTCTGATAGGATTCCCGTTATAGGTAATATGGCCCTTTTCTCTAATGACTTAATATTTTTTCTTTGGTTTGACCTTGGAAAGTCTGATGACTATGTCTTAGGGATGGTCAGCTTATACAGTATCTTGCAGGAGTTCTCTGGATTTCTTGTATCTGCATGCCAACTTCTCTAGTGAGATAGGGGAAATATTCTTGGATTATATACTCCAATATGTTTTCCAGTTGCTTACTTTCTCTTCTCTCCAAGGAGTGATAATAAATGGTAGATTTAGTCATTTTACATAATCCCATATTTCTCAGAAAGAAAAGAGAATCTTAAAAAATTCTCTTTATTTTTTTTTTCTGACTGGGTTGATTCAAAGGACCAATCTTTGAGTTCTGAAATTCATTTTTCTGCTTGGTCTAATCTGTTGTTAAGGCTTCCAGTTTTGTTTTGATACTCCTGTAGTGAGATTTTCAATTTCAGAAGCTCTGTTTTGTTCTTTCTCAGTATAGCTGTATCATCTTTTAAACCTTGGATTATTTCTCTGGCTTCTTTGCATTGGACTTCAACTTTCTATTGGATCTCATTGAGTTTCCTTGCCACACATATTCTGAATTCTGTTTCTATTACTTCAGACATTTCAATCTGACTAGGATCCTTTGCTAGGGAACTAGTGTGATCCTTTGGAGGTAACAAAGCACTCTGGCTTTTTGTATTGCTGAAGTTCTTGTGCTGATTTCTTCTTATCTGAAGGAGTTGATGCTTCTTTATCTTTCTGAATTTGCTTTTGTTTGAATGGAGTTTTTTGACTTTTTGTTCTTTTTTTTTTCCTGGAGGATATAACTGTTGTGTATGTTGTGTACAACCAATTGGCTTTGTTTCTGGGTGCTTTCAGAGCGGCAAAGCTCTATATGGGTTCTTTGGTTATGTAGAGGTTTACGCAGCGTGTTTGACAGGCACTGCTTGCAGCAGTTATTTTTGTTTGGTATGGTAATTCTGGCTATAGTCCAGTAGATGGTGCTCAATAGAGCCAGCACATAGGCTCTTAGCTGCAATAGCCCTCAGTGGGGGTGGAGGCACTAGGGAAGTGCAAAAAACATGCTCCTCCAACTCAGTTACCTTCAGCAGGGGTGGGTCCAATGGAGAATCACAGAAAAGCAGCTTACTGCAGTACACACACTTACCAGGCCCCAACAGGAAGGGCTCCAACGGGAAGGCGGGTGAGGGTGGAAAATGAGAGATGTTCCCTCTTTAAGTCCATTCCTAGGTCTTGGTGGTGTCTCTTTTAGTGGCTGGTGTCACACTCCCATTTCCTTTGTCCCAAGTAGGGCTTTGGTGGAGTGTGCTCCCTCCTTTCTTAGGGGCAGTTTGCACCAAGGACTGTCTCTAGAAGACCCTTTACGCCTTAGGTAACTGCCCATCCCCTGTGCTTGCCAAAGTTAGAATGAGTTGTGGAGTATGTTGGCAGGTGGTTTGGTGATGCAGTTGTTCAAAGGTGGAGGCTCCCTGGACAGGGTAGTGGCACTACCAGTGTGCAACCAATATGGCACCTGCTGTCTAGGCTTCTCAGCCCAGTGAATAGTTATGGGGCCTGCCCACCTCATGCTCCCTGACCCGGTGGGTCTCCCTCCAGTCTCTGCCCAGGTAGCAGGCCCAACCAGCTTGGCTTATCCCAAGCCATTTTTGTCCAGATCCCTGAGCCAGCCCAGGCATTCTGGGCTATGGAACTCCATAAGGGAGAAGTGGTGGCTGTTAGGCCATGCCCATCTTGGAAAAAGGAGGGGTGGGCTGGGTGCAGTGGCTCACGCCTGTAATCCCAGCACTTTGAGAGGCCGAGGCAGGTGGATCGCCTGAAGTCAGGAGCTCGAGACCAGCCTGGTCAACATGGTGAAACCATGTCTTTACTAAAAATACAAAAATTAGCTGGGCGTGGTGGCGGATGCCTGTAATCTTAGCCTACTTGGGAGGCTGAGGCAGAAGAATTGCTCATATCCGGGAGGTGGAGGTTGCAGTCAGCCGAGATCGCACCACTGCACTCTAGCCTGAATGACAGAGCGAGACTGTTTCAAAAAAAAAAAAAAAAAAAAAAAAAAAAGAGGAGTGACCAGCTCCCATGCTGGCATACAAACCTGTGCCATACTCTTTTTTGTGTTCCCCTACTTGAGCTCAGGCCACAGATATCAACTTGATATCCCTGGGTGGTGTACTTGAGTCCTGGGGAGCTGGGAGTAGAACTGTGGATTTTTCCCCTGGCCCCTAGGGGTCAAGCACTGGCTGTGATGGGGGTGGTGAACTACTCCTGGGCTGCCAATAAAACACTCAGGCAGGGCCGTGCAGGCTGTGCTGTGGGCACTCTCCCACAGGAGCCGCCTCAGAGGTGGTCTTGGGAGGGGCCAGCAGGCAAAGGGGTGCATGGAATAGATGCACTTTGGGCCTGTAGCAATAGTGGTGAGGCCTGTCTTGAGGCATGAGCATGCTCAGGCTCTGCTATTTCCTGGACTGGCAGATAGTAGGAGCTACAGCCACTCAGTGTAACATAGAAAGCCTTGGGGGATGAATGTCTGTGGTAGCGTTATCCTGCAGCTGCACAGCATAGCAAAGCCTTCTGGGCTCTATGTGGGTTCAAACTGTGCCTCTGCTTTTTCTTTGGGCTGCTCTGCCTGCCAGTCCAAAGGTCTGTGGGGGTCACAGGAGCTCCTGTGTCTAGGATCTCAGAAGTCCATGGCAGGAACGTGGTGCCCTGGGGTTCCTTCACTGACTCCTTCTTTAGGTCCAGTCCAAGTCCAGGGGTTGGTTCTGGTGCCTGATGACTCCGCGCAGGCCTAGGGTCATGGGAGAGCTTTGAGTGCACGCTGAAGAGCTTGGACTACCCTTAGGTAATGGTGCAGCATCACAAGGTCTTACACAGAGGAGTAAAACAACCCAGTTTTCTCTGGGTTATGATCTGACACTGTGACCACGCTTTTAATAAACGGTGTTTTAATTTATCTGCTTTGGACATTTGTCACTGTATTTTTATCATTGAATCATGTATGGATCCACAAACCTTTGTGTAATATGACACAAATGTGCCCAGCCTGGTAGAAGAAGGGCAAAGGGAGAGGGTTATATTATTATTGAAATCCTCATGTAATTGTTGGATTGTGATCAGGTAGATTATGGATGGACTAGGCAGAAGGCCGGGAGATGGAGGGGCTTGGCCAGTGACAGAGAAAATGCGTGACAGTCTTAGGATTCTGTGAAGGACCCAGAGGTAACAGGCTAAATTGGAACCAAATGTTGAAGTCAAGGTGAAACAATTATTTTATTTATTTAGGAAGATCATAATTTCCAGAGTGAGTAGGGGTGATTATTGATGTTTTGCATTTCTATACACAACAGAAATATGTATTTTAAGATGAAAGGCCACATACCTGGAAGACTAGATTGGCATTTTCATGCATTCCAAAAATTTCTGGGTCATCGATCAAAGGCAGATTTTCAATGTAGTCCTTAAACTCTTGTAGGCTGTCAGCCATGGGTGCAAAATAGATACCTGTTATTAAAAACACAGAAGACAAATATGTCTCAAATAGACTGGCTTTGTGCTGCCAAGTTTGATTTTTCTTTGTGTGGTGCAGATGGTGGCTGCAATCAGCTGGCTCATGTAGCAAGGGGGATTGTTTTTTCTAAGCTTTCATGCTTTCATGGCTGTGTCTAGTTTTGTTACCTTTTCTTCAGGCCTTGAGAATCTGATTACTGTCCTAACCTTTCAAATGCCTTCTCCAGAGCATTTAAAGATGCGGAGAATCCAGGGATATGCTGCTGAAAAGTGTAACTCATGAAGGGCTCCAAATCTATGCTGAAAGGTGTAACTCATTAAGGGCTTAAATTTATGCTTGTGTTAGAGATTGCTTTCATATTTGTTTGATAAACAACAGCCTTCTCTAATTCCCCAAACTAAAAGCTACATTGAAATCTAGGGTTATTCGACTGTCTATATGATTGCAGGATATACAGTTGAATCTTATTGGCTGTGACTGACGCTCAATGGTAGGAGCTTTTATGAGCTTGTACTAATCAAGTTGCTCCTTCCAAGGGGATCAACACTCAGGACAATTAATCTGTTTGCTGTCTGATTCGTAATGAGCTATCTCCAACTCACAGATCTGGTTTTTACTCAACTTGCTGTAATAGACATTTTCATTTCTTTATTTAAAAAACTTTTACATAGTAGTAGTAATAATATTTACTATGATTTAGAGACTGGGTCTTGTTATGTTGCCCAGGCTGGATTTGAACTCCTGAGTGCAAGTGATTCTCCTACCTCAGCCTCCTGAGTATCTGGGACCACAGACATGTGCCACTATGTCTGGGTGTTTTATTTGATTACATTCAAAATACACTAGAACATAAGAGTGAAAACAAATTTAGACACAGTGCAATAAACTTTAAAATGGAAGTAATTCAAAGTAGTTACCAAGCACTATGTAGCTCTGTGATCCTACTATCAAACCAGCTCTGAAAGTGGCCAAGCATGGGGATAGGGTGTGGCTATAAGAGGGTTGTGGAGACCCGACACAGACAGCCCCTGGATGGGAAACTGAGAGATGCTGTCAATGACTTCTTGGGAAAGGCCTTTCCTGTAATATTGAAAAGTCATTTACCTGATTCAGAGTATTTATAATCTTCTTCTAATGTTTCAGGAGAAAAAAATCTTTTCAAGATAGTACGAAGGCATCTTTGATCCCAGCTGTCTGTGACTCTACCACCATAGGTAATTTCACCTGAAAATAAATATGTATTTTGAAATTATTGCTGTTTTTAAAAAATTGATAGGCATACCTAATTTTAAAATTTTAACGTTTATTTATGTACACATTTATTTGGTACTGAAAATGGAAAGCACACAACAGAATTTCCTTCCACCACCCCCCTCAAAGATAATAGAAGTCAATTTTTGAAAAGTAGAAAAAATCTACTATATGTACTCTACTATCATTATTTTGCTGTTTTAGTTTTCAGAAACTAAAGCCACTGAGCTCTGTCTACATATTTCTTTTTTGTTTTTGTTCTTTTGCTTTGAAATAGTGATTTTGAGTCTTATCATTGATTGCAATATTCTAAAGCATACACATTTTCCATCAAACAGTGCTTCTTTCGGAGCCAATGAGTAAAGCAGAATCAAGTATTTGTAGCAAGCCATTCAACCTCTATACATTCCTTATTAATTATTGCTATCAGGGTAAGGAGGAAAGATAGATTCAAAGCAAAAGGGACAACTCACTTCACAGTAATGATAAGGAATTATAACTGATTAGTATCCCATCTCTCTTTCCAAAGAGAAGCTACTTGCCATGTGTCATCCCCAAACTATGTGTAGCAAGGAAGCACACTGGAATCTATTGCTGATATAATTTCTTTAAAATTCCAGATCGATTGCTACAATTCACCATTCACCACTGTAGTGTTCCTGGAAGGATTTCACCTGTGATACCAACATTGTCAACTTCTGAATCCTTCAACTGTTGATCCATTCTCATCTCTATTTCTTCCATCATGTCAGGAAGAAAAAATTGTTTTTTTTTTCTCTTTCAAGCTGACATGGTTGGTTGAGAGAAAGTTATTTCAGTCTTTGGAATCTCAGTAATTTATTTCTTCCAAGACAGGAATGTCTTTATCTGTACATCCTGTAGAGATGCCTGTCTTCCCTCTCCTGCTGGAGTGACTCTTGTCAGTCTTGTTGGATAAGACACTCAGGGAGAGGGGAGGGGAAGTAGGTACCAGGGCTGATGGTTAAGTTGCTGAATCCCTGTGTCGGCAATTCCAAGAGGTAAAAAGGAGATGTTCTGTATCTTTCTAGGAGTATTCTTTAGTGACCTTCTGGGAAATCTTGGAACATAAAGTTGGGTTAAATCTCTGTTGTGGGTCCATCTAATATGGCCTGACTTGAAACTCCTCTTGGGTCCTTGGCGCTGGAACATAAAGCTCTAGTTTCTCCAATTGCATGATGATGTCAGGGGAAGAAGGGTGTCCTAACATATATTATTCTAAAATAAGTTTCTAACTAAAATATCTGCATTTTGACAAGAAGCACAGAAGTGTTTTCCTTACGAATCAACAGATTTTGTGCTTCTCCATCCAGATTTGACTCTATCCTTTTTCTTGGGTCAAACTGAATAAACAAGGAACTCTGTCATTTTGACTCAGGGTAGACATCTCACAGCTCACTTTCAAGAAGGAGTCTTCTGGCTTTGGTCTTCTTAGAAGAGGGGCCGTGTGTGTGTGCACGCCCGTGTGTGTGTGTGTACGTGTGTGCGTGCATGTGTGTGTGTGTGTGTGGTGGGGTCCACCATCCATGCCACCGCCTGGTCTGGCCCCAGCATCATGGTTCCTGTGGGTCCCACTGCAGAACCTAACATAGTGGCTTCCCCTTTCTCTTCCTTTCCCATCTCTGTGGGCTGACTTGGGGATGATCCAATAAAAACTGGAGAGGCCTGAGGTTTGACTTTGTCTTTGCCAACTTTGAGCTCAGATCCACCCCCAATACCACTCCTGGATGTGTGTATTGCTGTAACCTACACTATAAAATCTGAAGGTCCTCCTCCAATCCCAAATACCTTCCAGTATTTAAAGCCTCCTAAATATCTCTGTTTATTCTCTCCTGTCTAGTTTCCCCACTGGTATTGCTATGTCTTCATGTTCAATCCCTCATTTTGCTTTTATTATAGCTTTGTGAATTGTTGCACCTCTTCCTAACCTAAAAGACCATAATTGCTAACCAATGTTTATAAGTTAGAGCAAAATTTATTAGCAAGACACATAGGCCTTTCAGGATATGCCCCTGGCTTACCTTTTTTAGTGTTCTTGAAGACACAACTGCCCTCCATACACACTTCCTCTTCTGGAGCTAGTTTCTTTAGTAGTGCCATGTCCCACACACTGCTGGCCTCCCCTCACCCCTGCACCTTTATTGAGGTTTAGTTGGTATCCAAAAAATGGCACACAATTAATGTATACAACCTGGTGAGTTTTGACATATGTATATACTTATGTTGCTATCTCCACAATCCGTATGGTAAACATATCCATGGTCTCTGACAATTTCTTCATGCCACCCACTGTTTTATTGTGGTTAGAATACTTAACATGAAATCTACTCTCTTGACAAATTAATTTAAAGTACAAAATACCTTATGATTAACTGTAAGTGCTATATGGTACAACAGATCTCTGTAACTTACTCATCTTGTATAACTATAATTTTATACTTACTGAACAACAACTCCCCATTTTCCTCCTCCCTCTATCCTGTGATAGTCACCATCCTCTTGTCTACTTCTAGACTTTTGACTATTATAGAGGCCTCATATAAAAGGAATCATGCAATATTTGTCCTTCTGTGACTAACTTATTTCATTTAGCGTAATGTCAGTCAGGTCCATCCATGTTGTCACAAATGGTAGGATTTCTTTTTTTTTTAAGGATAAATAGTATTCCATTGTATGTATATACTATACTTGCTGTATCCATTTATATGTTGATGGCTATTTGGGTTGTTTCCATATTTTGGCTACTATGAATGATTCATTATCTCCATCAGCTTTTGGTAGGCAGACATCCAGAATCTATCATAATAGTACTAATCAATATTTTATGAATTAATCCATAAACTAATGCCTAAAAAACTCGCCATTAGCAAGTATCGCCACCTGGATAAAGTATTGTCTTTTTACTCCTATCTTTTTTAAAAAACCAGTTTCAATGAGATATAATTTAAAAAACCATAAAATTCACATAAAACATATATATAAAAGAATATATATTGAATATATATATTCTTTTATATATATATATATATAAATTCATTAATTTTTGGTAAATTTACAGAGTTGTCTACCCATCATTGCAATCTAACTTTAGAACATTTCCATTTCCCCCCAAAAGAAATCTTGTGTCCATTTGCAGTCAGTCCCCATGTCTACTCCCTGTCCCATGAAACCACTGAACTACTTTTCATCTCTATAGACTTGACTCGTCTGGAAATTTCATATACATAGAATTGTACTTGTGGACTTTTGTGTCTGACTTCTTTCACTTAGCATAATGTTTTTGAGATTTATTTATGTTGTTTATGTATCAGTACTTTATTCCTTTTATGGTGGAATAATATTCTGTTTATGGATATGCCATATTTTACTTAGCCATTCACCAGTTATTGGACATTTTTGGCCATTATGAACAATGCTGTTGTGCACATTTGTGTACAAGTTTTGTTTTTGTGTGGGTTCTTTTTTTGTTGTTGTTTTTTGAGATGGAGTTTCACGCTTTCACCCAGGCTGGAATGTAGTGGCCCTATCTCGGCTCACTGCAACATCCGCCTTCTGGTTTCAAGTGAGTCTCCTGCTCCAGCCTCCTGAACAGCTGGGATTACAGGTGTGCACTACTAAATCCAGCTAATTTTTGTGTTTTTAGTAGAGGTGGGGTTTCTCTATGTTGGCCAGGCTAGTCTCGAACTCCTGACCTTGTGATCCACCCACTTGGGCCTCCCAAAGTGCTAGGATTACAGGCATGAGCCACTGAGCCCGGCCTTGTGTACAAGTTTTCGTGAGGACATACGTTTTAATTTTTCCTGAGTACATATCTAAGAGTAGAATTGCTGAGTCATGTGGTAACTTTGTTTAAACATTTTTTCAAGGCAGCAGAACAATTTTACATTGCCACCAGCAGGCATGAGGGTTCCAGTTTTCTCATATGCTCACCAGCATTTGTTATTGTCTTTTAAAATTATGGTCATCCTAGTAGGTGTGAAGTGGCATTTCATTAGAGATTTAACTTTCATTTTCCTCATGACAAATTGAGCATCTTCTCATGTGCTTACTGGGCATTTGTGTGTTTTCTTTGGTGAAATGTCAATTCAAATCAAATCTTCAACCATTTTAATATTGAGTTATTTTTCTTATTATTGTTGAGTTGTAAGAGGTCTTTATATACTTTGGATACAAGCCCTTATCAGATATATGATTTGCAAATATTTTCTCTCAGTCTGCATCTTGCCTTTTCACTTTCTTGATGGTATGTGTTGAAGAGTAAAAGTTTTAATAATTTTTTTTTTTTTTTTCTGAGATGGAGTCTTACTCTGTTGCCCAGGCTGGAGTGCAGTGACACAATCTCGGCTCACTGCACCCTCTGCCTCCCGGATTCAAGCGATTCTCCTGCCTCAGCCTCCCGAGTAGCTGGGACTATAGGCGCCCGCCACCATGCCCAGCTAATTTTTTGTATTTTTAGTAGAGACGGAGTTTCACTGTGTTAGCCAGGATGGTCTCGATCTCCTGACCTTGTGATCCACCCGCCTCAGCCTCCCGAAGTGCTGGAATTACAAGCTTGAGCCACAGCACCCGGCCTAAGAGTAAAAGTTTTAGATGTTGATGAAGTCCAATTTATTTTCTCTTTTTTTGTGTCATATCTCGGAAGTCAGTGACTAATCCCAAGTCACAATTTTCTCCAAAGCTTTCTTCTGAGAGATTTACTTTTTTCTGTTAATTGTAGGTCTGTCACCCATTTTGAATTAACTTTTTTATATGGTATAAGGGTTCAAATTTATCCTTTTGTGGATGGACACCCAATTGCCCCAGCATCATGTGTTGAAAAGACTATCCTTCCCCCATTGAATTGTCTTGGCACCATTGTTGAAAATCAGTAGTCATAAATATAAAGGTCATTTTTGGATTCTCAATTCTGTTCCACTGATTTATAAGCCCATTCTTTTTAAAAAAATATAAATGTTATTTCTCAACACGAGGTCCATCAATTCAAGACATTTTTGTAAGCAATGATACCAGCCATTCAGTCCATCCCTAAAGAACTGATGGTCCTGGGAGTTTAACCATGTCAATGCAGTCTTTTTTTATATTAACAGAAGAAAAATGGGTGCCCTTTAACAAAATTTTAATATTAGGAAACATAGAAGTCAGAGGGAGCAAAATCAGGTTTGTAAAGTGAATACCTAATGATTTCCCATAAAAACTCTTGCAAAAGTGCTCCAGTTTGATGATAGGCCTGAATAGCACTGTTGAAGTGAAGATTGACTCTCTGGTGAAGTGTTCTTAGGCATTTTTTCTGCTAAAGCTTTGACTAACTGTTTAAAAATACTCTCATAATAAGCAGATGTTATCATTCTTTGGCCCTCCAGAAAGTCGAGAAGCAGAATGCCTTCAGCATTCCAAAAAACTGTTGCCATGAGCTTTGTTCTTGACTAGCCTGCTTTTGCTTTGACTGGACCACTTCCATCCCTTGGTAGTCATTGCTTTGATTGTGCTTTGTTTTCAGGATTGTACTGGTAAAGCCATGTTCCATCTCCTGTTATAATTCTTCAGAGAAATGCTTCAGGATCTTGACTGCACTTGTTTAAATTTCTGTCGAAAGCTTTGCTCTTGTCTGCCTCTGATCTGGATGTAAAAGTTTTGGCACCTATTGAGTGGAAAGTTTGCTCAACTTTAATTTTCAGTCAAAATTGTGTAAAATGAACCTATTGAGATGTCTATGGTGTTGGCTGTTGTTTCTGCTGTTAATTGTTGGTGCTCTTCAGTGAGGGCATGAATAAGATTAATTTTTTTCTTTGCAAATTGATGTGGATGGCCTACTGCTGTGGGTTTCATCTTCAACACTGTCTTGGCCCTTCTTAAAACTAGTTATCCATTTACAAACTGCTACTGATTTGTTTGGGGCATTGTCCCTATGAACTTTTTGTAAAGTATCAATATTTCACCATTCTTCCATACAAGCTTCACCATAAATTTGGTGTTTGTTCTGCTTCAATTTTAGCAGAATTGATGTTACCCTGGCAAGGGCTTATTGCAAATTGATGTCTTATCCTTCTTAGTGCCTCAAACTAGATCCAGAAACAGAATTTCCAACACAGATTAAAAATCCAAATTTGTAAGAACTGGAACACCTTTCTTAATTTTCCCATAAAATCAGTCTCATTTACAGCAATACTTTGGGATATTTGTTGCTGAGATGTCCTGTTTTCTTCAGAACAACTTTTTGACAGCTCTGAGACTCTTTGGACCAAGACTAGGTGCTGGAGGGAACAGTGGATGGGTGCCACATAAAAAGAAATCGACCTGATAAAGGCTCTGCTCCCTTCATGCCAGAAACAAAAAATGTGTTAGAACTATGGTCACCACTGCCAAGTCAAAATCTATGTCTATTCTTATGCCAGTGCCACAATGACTTGTTGTAACTTTGTAGTAAATTTTGAAATTGGGAAATGTTACTCTTTTGACTTTATTCTTCTTTCCGTGATTGTTCTTGCCATTTGAGGCCCTTCACATTTTCATATTAATTTCATATGAATTTATAATCAGCTTATCAATTCCTGCAACATGCCAGTGGATCTGGGTGTAACAGTCTGCTGTTACATAGGGTTTGCATTAAATCTACAGATCAGTCTGGCAAATTACTTTTTACCTCCACAATTACTTCCACAGCAATAGAGACTGAGGTAACCTGAAACATCAAGGATTCTAGGAGAGGGAGAAGGAAAAGAAAAATGAGAGACGGGAAAATTCAGGGCAAGCAGAGGATACCAGAGAACAATTTTGCCTACATCACCACTTTGCTAAACAATTTTGGTCCCAATGGGATGGCTTGGGGCAGGAGTACAAAGTAGCCTCCCAAATTACAGGGCTTTCCCTATTGGTTCACTCTGGGGACTGGTCCTAAACTATTTTTACTGTTATCTTGCTGCCTTCATCTCAAACATGTTTTAAGGTTTCATTTTGCCTTTTAGGCTGTAGATCACCTGATACCTTTCTGCTGTTTTGCATTTCCCTTACTTGCCAATGAAAATCATCCATTTCCTTTCTGTCCCTTTTCAGAGCTCCTCCTTCTCCCACTTCCCAGTGCAAATATCCTCTCCCTTACTACTTGAGCCCACATGGTCCAAATTGGTTCTAATTTTGGCAACAAGATCCCTATGTAGTCACAGTTAATATTTACCAAAAATTTAATTCCTGAAAGATTTTTTCTTTTTCACAGGTATATCTGAATTAACAGGTCTCTACTAGTCAAATAATGTTTAGGTTCTTTTGAATTTAAGATCGTGGATTCTGGAGGTTACACTGTCTGGGTTCAAATGTCGGCCCCAGCACTTTGTAAATGGTGTGCCTTAGTTTTCTTATGTGTAGAACGGTGATAATAATAGTGCTCACATTGTAAGGTTGTTATGAGGATTAAATCTGCTATTTCTTGGGAAGTGCTTAAAGGGGTGCTTGGCATGTAGCAAGCACTGTTTTTCCTATTATTATTATTTGAGAAAGCAGCTGTCCCATTTTCTATGTGTGAATATTCTAATGATGTCCTGATGTGTTCTTCTCACAATCTTGTCTTCACACAAGGAACATCAAAAATCACCATCACTACTATTAAACACTGGGGGAGGACACCATCTTTGTAAGGGCCAGGTGGGAGTAAACCAAAAACTTTGTGGTACATAGATGGAAGCCCTGGCCACAAGAACGTACTCACCAGTAATATAAATCAGTGCATCCCAGGGAATCTTTCCTTCTTTACAATAGAGGTTGAGGTTCAGTAAAGCACATTCCCTGTCACTGTCATTAAATTCATAGCAGATATTCCAACCAAGGGGGCCAAACTTCTTTCTCTCCTAGAATGAAAAATGAAAATGGTCTGAAACAAAATTTGATAAAATAAATTCTGTGTAATATATTGGAAACTAAAAAGAAGTTTCCATTGAAATTGGGCATCCCCACACTGCAAAATCAGGAAAATCATGTGGCTCAACTTCAGCTAGGCTTTCACCAAACAGAGGAAGCACCTCTTCCTTCAATACTGGCTCCTCCCCATATTTCCAAAAGAAAATTTGCTATTACTAGAAATTGGATAGACCTGTCAAAAGAACATTTTTCTTTCAGGGTAAAATAAAGCATTTTTTCATCACAGTAGGAAAAAAAAATTTCACCTGTAGTCTTTTGGCATAAAATTATTGACCCTGTAATTATCTATCTGGTGGAGAGAACTACTCCCTGCTGTTTTAAGGAGTCTGTCCATGATTTTTCAGTTATGCCACACATAGAACCATATTTTTGTTTCATGGCATACCATCATGAAATCCTCCCCCAACCTCCTTTGTTATTTCCCTATCCTACCTTAATTTCTTAAATTTGAAACTGATAATTATGCCAGAGGTTTGGTTCCAAGTTCCCTGCTCTTGATCTCAAAATTTTCCTAAAGCTTAAACTACCTCCGCATCTCAGGTGCTTTTGTTAGCGGAACAAAGGCCTCACACCCAGAACCCCTCCCCTGATCCCAACCTGTCAGACCTCCCCTAATACCTTTTAACCTATTTATCTTATATCTGGCATATTTTCTTTTCTTTTCTTTTTTGAGACAGAGTCTTTCTCTGTCACCCAGGTGGGAGTGCAGTGGCACGATCATTGCTCATTCACCCTTGACCTACCAGGCTCAGGCAATCTTCTCACCTCAGCACCCAAGTAGCTGGGACTACAGGTATGTGCCACCATGCCTGGCTATTTAAAATTTCTTTTTTTGTAGAGATGGGCTTTCGCTGTGTTGCCCAGACTGGTCTTGAACTCCCAGGATCAAGTGATCTGCGCACGTTGGCCTCCCAAAATGTTGGGATTATAAGGATGAGCCACTGTGCCCCGTCTGATAATTTATTTATTTATTTATTTATTTATTTATTTATTTATTTATTTTCTGTAGACCACACACATTTGAAAACCGGAAAACTAATATAATAAATATGCCACCTATGAGGAAATCTATTTTGTACTTGTTGAACTGAATTGAACCTGCTCCATTCATCCAACTGATGATATTTTGTAGGCAGATCAGACGAGAGGTGAGAGCTGAATCTGTGAAACATGGAGGCAAGGGGAGTATAGAGATTGAGAGCTGAATGAAAACAACTTGGGTTCAGACACAGAATGGAGTCTTCAGCATTTCACAATGACATTTACAAGCTTTCACTTAATTATTGCTATTTATTTCACAATACACTTCCTTGTTGCTATTAAAAAGCAGAGTTAATAAGTGTACCTGAATAATCGCATGGAAGAAACAAATGCCAAATATTATTTGCCTCCATTTTTTTCCAAGTATATTTTCTTCAAAAAACGAAGGTGTCATTTCAGTAAATGCTCGTCTGATATTTGCACGTAAGCCTTTTGGAGGCTCATTGGTCACCTGGATTTAGATGAAATATACATGGCAGAGAGAGTGATTTTATAGATTTGCGTTATTTCTGAATAACACACAGACTGAAAGCCATTGAGATGATGTAGATAGCTGATGTTCATGGGGAGGTAGGGACCATTCCTGGCATGTTTGAGCCTGCTTTGTATCTTGCTCAGGCACAGTCCAGGGAGAACATGGAATGGCAGGGTTCTCAGACCTACAGTGGTTGGACCACATGTTCAACAAGAACCTCAGACACTTCCACTTAGTGTCCATTTTTTCTAAACACAGGCCAGAAAGTATGCTCAAGGTTTCCTCATTGAATTTTGCATCATCCTGACATACGGCATTGTCCCATAGTTTGTCCCCTGATGTCCCATGACATGGGACAGGGAGGGAAGAAGCACCTCTTGTTCCTCATATGTAGAGGCTTGCCATAGATCATAAACTTCCAGCATTAAAATCCAACAGCCATACTAGTATGGCTTGTAGGCTTTCCTGTTTCTCAAATGCTGAAACATTCCCTTAACTCTGGAAGGGGTTCTCTTCTCATCACTCTGTACCCTTAACATTTTCTTGTGAGGGTGAGAGCTGGAAGAGCTGAATACCAATAGGACTAGAATATGCAAGGACGGGGTTGGGCAATCATTTCCCTGCTTGTTAAAGATGAAAATATACTGACTTCACCTCCCCATCCTGGCCACGCAGACCCCCACATGCTTCTGTGCAGGCTCTGATATCCTTGGAGGCACTAGATGAATATTCTGAAACCAACCATTTCACCATTGTTCCAACCATATGCATACATTACCTTGACAGAATTTTGAAGAACTGTAACAGGAAATGTATTACTAGGCATGGAGCTTAAAAAAAGTCGAAAAGTGTCCTTGATAGCACTATCTGTTTAAAACAAAGAAAAAACAACAAAAAAGGAAAATGTTTAGTTGGTAGTAGCACTTTTCTATAAGAAACAATTATTCTATAGAAGGAAAAAATGCTATAGGCTTTGTTTAAAGACCTAGTTAATGTATTACAAGTATATTGTAAACTGTTTTAAAATGGGAGTAAGATGCGTTGTTTTAGAAACTTCATGTTAGGAGGGTTTGGCAGTCAAGAAGCAGGCACATTTGGGTAAATACATTAGGAACATGTTAATTTTTAATAGTTGCTGAACTATTAAGGGTCTTATCTTTGAAATGGGAAACACTTTCAGTTGAAAAAGAGGGCAGTTATTGCCCACGTATTTATTCTCATGAGGATTTTTTGACCATTCAATTTAACACAAGTGGCATGAAAATGACCAACATCAGAACTTAAATGGTTAGGTTATAAATGATTATAGCAAGGGCTAGAATAGGACTTTTCTATCCATTTAAGTTTAGTAAGCACTTAAAATACACAAACAACTTCAGCTGGCTTCATTAGCCCATCCAGTCTCCTTGAAGAACTGGCAAATGCTCTCGTCCTAGTTATAGTGAAACTGAACGGCATCTCCATATTCTGGAGGCTCATGTAGTACCACCACAGCAAATTGCTTTTTTGATGTCTCTCTAACATTTCTTTCTTAATTATATTCCTAATCATTGGGGACCTCTGACCAGTACTGAAGACCTCCTTGTCATTTCTCTTTAATTATTTAAATAGAAGTAAGTCACAGGCCCAGCAGGAAGCAGGCCATCTCTTATTTGATTGCAAAGGAATGGAAATAGTGGAGATTATGAATGGTGGATAAAAATGAGTCCTTAACTTTGTTAGAAGCAACCTGCAGAAGGCTTGGGGGTGAGGGCAGGGGGCCAGGAAGTGAAGGGCCTTTAGGGGAAGGCTGCTAAACCCTGAGCTGGCTCAGTGAACAGTGCAGACTGGGGACTCTGGAAAAGAGCAGCTCTTCACCTTAATAAGTAGCACTAAATAAAGTGATTTGCAAGATCATCTGCATAGCTCTTACCTTTCCAGAAAGCTTTCTGTAGTGAGGGCACAAAGAAAGGCCTCAGAGAAAGGGCTCTCTCTGGATATGCTTGCCTGGAAGTTCTACCCCAGGCCTTCACAGCAGAGTGGTAGAATAGGACCCACACAATTTGCTACCAATAAAATTGTTCCTGAGGTTTTGGTTATTTTTATACTAACACTTTAAAATGAGTAGATTTTAATTCCACTTCCTCTCTTTGCAGCCCATTACACTTTCTTGAGTAGGCAAGAAAGTGGTGAGATAATAGCTAGTGCCAGCAACTATGAGTAATGCTGGGCATGCCCATGGGGTGGTGTGGCTCTGAGGCACATGTAAAGGTTAGTTGTCATGTGGGTTACAGAGGATAAAAGGTGGTAAAAAACTACTCTAAGGGAATTGGTGGTAATTTGAATTCTGTTCCTTGACATTTCTCGTTATATAGGGAAAGATTTAATTTCTTTTGTTTGTCCTAAGTATATTTTTCTTTTTAATATGCCTATAAGTAATAAATTCAAATGACCTCTCATAGAAGGCAATAAGAAACAGAAATGATCCAGTGGATCCTAGCCTCAACTTGTAGTTCTGAAGGCCTTTTATCAAACCCTAGTTGTGTAAATTAGCTAAATCTGTCTAGATCTCAAATTTCTCCTCTTTAATATAGGGAAACATAGTGCCTACAATAATGAATTACTATAAGGAATGAATTCAACAAGAAAAGGTTACATTAAAATGTTATTATTATGCAAGGGCTATGTGCTCAACATACCTGGATCTGTGAAGGTTTTAATGAGCTCTTCCATTGCCAACATCCAAGAAACAGCAAGATGGCAGTTTTGCAAAAATACCCAGTTTCCTGATTTCATTGCATCCTTGATCATTTTTTCAGCAATAGGTCCCTGTCCTTGCCCCAGTGAAATTGACTGCACCCTGAATTAAACAGCAACAACAAAATATCATCTTATGCTATTTTAAAGCAAAATCAATATCAAGAAACGTAAATACAGTAGACTCTTGCTTAGGATATATATATATATACATTTTGAATCCTCATTCCAATAGCAGTACAAATATGTTTTCCTTATTTCTTGTTTTTAAAATATTTTTACCATGACCCACATAGAAAAGTGCAAAAACCGAATATACAGCTCTACAAATGATCACAAATCAATACCTGTGGTTGAGAAGAGAACTGTGCTGATATACCAGAGACATTTCTCTTATGCCTTTCTCCACCTCAATGATTTCCCCTTCCTTCTTCCCACAGGTAATCATTATCCTAACTTCTAGCAACACTACAGATCACTTTTTAAACACTTAAAAAATTAAAGTCTAACATATATACAAAAAAATACATATTATTAGTGTATGGCTCAATGAATTCTCACAAAGCAAATGTGCACATGTATCACCATCCAGGTCAAAAAACAGTACCTCTCCTTATCCCAAAAGGCAAAACAATTTTGAATTCTAATGCCATCGATTAATCACACAGCATCTGTGAAAGCCAATGTGGGAAACTAGCTACAACTAAGAAACCTGTGCAAAGCGTTGGCCCTCTGAAAGCACCCAGAAGCAAAGCCAATGAACTATACACAACATACACCACAGTCAAACCCTCAAAGGAAAACAGGAATACAAAAATAAAAAGCCTCAATGAAATGACAGAAACTTGAAAATGATAAATACTAGCCCTCTTGGATAATTAGGAATCAGCAGAAGAACTCTGGCAATTCAAAAAATCAGTTTCCTTACCTCTAAATGATTGCAATGGATCCTACCAGATTGAAACATCTGAAATGACAGATATAGAATTCAGAATCTGGATGGCAAGGAAGCTCAATGAGATCCAAGAGAAAGTTGAAATCCAGTCCAAAGAAGCCAGTAAAATGATCCAAGAGTTGCAAGATGACACAGCTATATGAAGAAAAAACAAAACTGAACTCCTGGAATTGAAAAATGACTACAGGAATTTCAAAATACAATTGGAAGCGTTAACAACATACTAGGCCAAGTCAAAAAAAGAATTTCAGAGCTCAAAGACTGGTACCTCAAAACAACCCTGTTAGGCAAAAATAAAGACGAAAGAATTTAAAAAATGGAAAAGCCTATGAGAAATATGAGATTATGCAAATAGATAAAACCTATGCCATACTGGCATTCCTGAGAGAGAAGAAAAGGTAAACAACTCAGGTAACATATTTGAGAATATAGTCCTTGAAAGTTTCCCCAACATTGCTAGAGAGGTTGACACGCAATTTCAGGAAATTCAGAGAAACCCTAGGAGATGCTATATAAGAAGACCATCCCCAAGACACATAGTTATCAAACTTTCCATGATCAATGTGAAAAAAAATTCTTAAAGGCAGCTAGAGGAAAAGGTCAGATCACTTACAAAGGTCATCCCATAAGGCTAACAGCAGACTTCTCAGCAAAAACATTACAAGTCAGAAGAGATAACATAACTATATTCAGCATTCTTAAAGAAAAGACATTCCAACCAACAATTTCATATCCTGTCAGACTGAACTTCATAAGCAAAGGAGAAATAAAAGCTTTTCCAGATAAGCAATTGCTAAGGCAATTCTTTACCACTAGACCAGCATTACAAAAGATTCACAAAAGAGCTCTAAACACGGAAATGAAGGAGTGATACCTGCTACCACAGAGACACACTTAAGTCCAGAGCCCACAGACTCTATAAAGCAACTACACAATCAAGACTACAAAGCAACCAGCTAAAAATATCACGACAGGATCAAAACCTTACATATCAATATTAACCTTGGATATAAGTGGTCTAAACACCCCATTTAAGAGGCACAGAGTAGCAAGTTGGATAAAAAAAAAAAGACCCAACCATCTTCTATCTTCAAGAGATTCATTTCTCATGTAACAAAACCAACAGGTTCAAAATAAAGGGGTGGAGAAAGATCTATCATGCAAAAGGAAAACAAGAGAAGAGGAGGTGACTATTCTTATATTGCAGAAATAAGACTAAATTGACAACAGTAAAAAAGGACAAAGAAGGGCATTGCATAATGGTAATGGGTTGAACTCAACAAAAAGACTTAACTATCCTAAATATAGATGCACCCAACATTGGAATACACAGATTCATAAAACAACTACTTCAAGACCTACAAAAATACTTGGAAAGCTACATTTAATAGTGGGGGTACTTCAGCATCCCACTGACAGTATTAGACAGATCACTGAGGCAGAAAACTAACAAAAAAATTCTAGACATAAATTAGACACTTAATCAATTGGATCTAAGAGCTATCTACAGAATACTCCACCCATCAACCACAGAATATACATTTTTCTCATCTGTATATGGAACATAGTCTAAGATCAACCACATGCTTAACCATAATAGATTTGATAGATTCAAAAAGATCAAAATCATACCAAGCATACTCTCAGACAATAGTGGAATTAAAATAGAAATCAATACCAAGATCTCTCAAAACCACACAATTACATGGAAACGAAACAACTTTCTTCTGAGTGACTTTTGGGTAAATAACATATTAAGACAGAAATAAAACACTTCTTTGAAACAAATGAAAAGAAAGACACAACATACTGAAATATCTGGGATGCAGTAACAGCAGCGTTAAAAGTTTACAGTATGTCTGGATGCAGTGCCTGTAATCCCAGCACTTTGGGAGGCTGAGGTGGAGGGCACTTGAACTCAGTTTGAGATGATCCTGGGCAACCTGGCAAAACCCTGTCTCTACAAAAAATACAGAAATTAGCCAGGCATGGTGATGTGTGCCTGTAGTCCCAGCTCCTTGGGAGGTGGAGGAGGGAGGATCACCTGACTCTGGGGAGGTTGAGGCTGCAATGAGCCATGATCACTCCACCACAGTACAGCCTGGGCAACAGACTGAGATCCTGTCTCAAAAAAAAAAAAAAAAAAAAAAAGTTTATAGTGCTAAATTCCTACATTGAGAATTAGATTCACGATCTAATACTGCAATTAGAGGAACTAGAACAAGAACAAACAAATCCTGAAGTTAGCAGAAGAAAAGGAATAATTAAAATCAGAGCAGAACTAAATGAAATTGGGACCCCAAAATCCATACAACGAATTAATAAAGCCAGGTGCTGGAGCCACTGCCGCCGAGTCCGGATCTCATTGTCATGCGCCCCTGACACCTGCTGGATGTGCATTCCCGATTCCTTTTGGTTCCAAGTTCAATATGACAACTCTCAAGGATCAGCTGATTCATAATCTTCTAGAGGAAGAAGAGACCCCCCGAGAATAAGATTAGAGTTGCTGGAAGGGAACCAATGCCGAAGACCGTGGGCGGGGGAGGGAGGCGGGGGTGGACAGGGAGGCAGCTTGTGAATTTTCGTTTTACTGTTTAACTTTATTAAAAAAGAAAAAAAAGGGAAGAGAATAAAATGTTTTGACCCTTAAAAAAAAAAAAAAGATTATAGTTGCTGGGATTGGTGCTGTTGGCATGGCCTGTGCCATGCCAACAAGTCCACAAAGGACTCAGTAGATGAACTTGCTCTTGTTGATGTCATGGAAGATAAATTGAAGGGAGAGATAATGGATCTCCAATATGGCAGCCTTTTCCTTAGAACACCAAAGATTGTCTCTGGCAAAGACTAATGTAACTGCAAACTCCAAGCTGGTCATTTTCACTGCTTGGGCACATCAGCAAGAGGGAGACAGCTGTCTTAATTTGGTCTAGCATAACATGAACATCTTTAAATTCATCATTCCTAATGTTGTAAAATACAGGCTGAACTGCAATTTACTTATTGTTTCAAATCCAGTGGATATCTTGACCCATGTGGCTTGGAAGATAAGTGACCTTCCCCAAAACCGTGTTATTGAAAGTGGTTGCAATCTGGATTCAGCCCAATTCCGTTACCTGATGGGGGAAAGGCTGGGAGTTCACTCATTAAGCTGTCAAGGGTAGGTCCTTGGGGAACATGGAGATTCCAGTGTGCCTGTATGGAGTGGAGTGAATGTTGCTGGTGCCTCCTTGAAGACTCTGCACCCAGATTTGGGGACTGATACAGATAAGTAATAGTGGAAAGAGGCTCACAAGTAGGTGGCTGAGAGTGCTTATGAGGTGATCAAACTCAAAGGCTGGGGCATTGGACCCTCTGTGGCAAATTTGGCAGAGAGTATAATGAAGAATCTTAGGTGGGTGCACCTAATTTCCACCATGATTAAGGGTCTCTATGGAATAAAGGATAATGTCTTCGTTAGTGTTCCTTGCATTTTGGGACAGAATGGAATCTCCGACCTTGTGTGAAGGTGACTCTGACTCCTGAGGAAGAGGTCTGTTTGAAGAAGAGTGCAGTTACACTTTGGGGACTCTAAAAAGACTTGCAATTTTAAAGTCTTCTGATGTCATACCATTTCACTGTCTAGGGTACAGTAGGATTTTAGTTGGAGGTTGTGCATGTTGTCCTTTTTATCTGTTCTGTGATCAAAGCAGCGATATTTTAAGATGCACTGGGAAAAACATCAATTCCTGAAGTTGGACATAGAAAAGGTTTGTAAAATCCTACAGCTATATCCTGATGCTAGATGGTATTAATCTTGTGTAGTCCTAAACTGGTCAGTGTGAAATAGTTTTACCAACTCTGAGGCAACTCTGCCAATGCTGCACATGCTGCAGTTGCCCCTTGAGCCAGATGGATGTTTACTGTGTGTATATAACTTTCTGGCTCCTTCACTGGACATTCCTAGTTCAACATTCTTTCCCAATCAGTCACATCCTGGGATCCAGTGTATAAATCCAATATCGCATGTCTTGTGTATAATTGTTCCAAAGGATCTTATTTTGTGATCTCTATATATATCAGTAGTGTACATTACCATATAATGTGAAAAGATCTACATATAAACAATGCAACCAACTATCCAAGTATCATACCAACTAAAATCCCCAATA